GGCATGAGGGATGGCAGATGGACAATCAGCCCTCCTTGGCTTGGCTGGCCCCTCTCTGTGAGCCTCTTGCAGAGGGTGCCTGTTTCTGCCCAGTTATTACAAATAGGCTGGTGCCTTTCTCTGCAGTACCTGGCTTGGTGGGCAGGTCCTTCACTCCACAGACAGGAGTTATGGCTCAGGACAGTCACTGGCATCTTTCCTTCCACAAATGAATCTGGTAGAAACTGGCTTGTAAAGCTGAACCTCTGTAGGAAAGTGGATTTGTGTGGAAGAGAGGCGTTTAGGAGCCTTCTGCCCATCCCTTTTTTTTGTGGTTGGGAGAAGCAGCAGGGGAAGGCTCAGTGATACACCTCATGTTGTTTTCTTCTCCTGCTGCTGTCCGGAGAATGTCCTGGACTCAGTAGCAGCACCATCAATGGGGATAAAGCTCTTCCTCCTTGTTTCTTGGATCTACTCCTTTTCCTTGACTCATTCCCCTCTGTAATCCCATCAGGTCTGTTTTGTTCCCTCACCAAGCCTAAAATTTAAAAGAAACGAAAAAAAAAAAAGGGAGAATTATTGCTTTTTTTGAGAGAGCTGCTTACGGCTGTCACAGAGGGAGCAGAATGCCACATGAAGCATCTTCTTCCCTAGCTCCATGCCATCCTTGCCTACGACATCTCTCTTTTTTTTCCCCTATTTTTTTTTTCTTTTCCACCCCGGCAAATGCCCACACATGCTTTGTCAGATGGGTGTGACCAGGCAGGAGAGCTGCCTCTCTCCTCTTCCAGACCCCCTGCCACATTTCAAGGACATTAGCACCCCAGAGACACCGTGGGAGGAAGAAAGAGAGTGTTAAGAGGTGCGAAAGGAAGGGCAAGATGGGCTGTGATGATAAATGGTGAATTTTCAGCTTTTTTTCTTTGCCCTGTTGGTAGAACCTAAATGCTGGGTGGGTTTGCAGTGATTTAGTGTTTCATCTTTGCTTCAGAATACTAATTAGGTGTAAACCTTTTTTAGCCTTTGGCTAATGGTCACTAAAAATGAACAGCTTCCTTTAAAGTGAAAGAACATAAAAAACGGTTACAGGAGAACCTAAATTAATTTGTGCAGTTCCTTTTTTCTTCAGAAATATAAAATGTGTTTCTGACCGTTACAGGGGTGGTTTTAGGTACAGAGTTAAGAAATACAGACATGACCCACAGTCTGTTTACCTGCACATACAGTATGAGCTTCTGCTGACTCTTAGATGTGCAAGCACTAGGGAATGTAGAGAGACAAAATGAATCATTACCACAGGCATAGTCACTAAAAGCATCTGATGTACCCATTCAGTCTTTTTTTTTTTTTTAATCTCCTCTTTGCACACAATCTACGAAATAACACGTTTTGTGAAGGGTTAAAACGACTTGTGCATTCACTGCACTGACTCAATGAGTTCAGTTCTATATGATCTTCCATTATTTGTAGAGGAACAGAATGGCAGTGGGAGTTTATGCTGCTACATTTGATGTTCTTGTGCTAGGTTTTTTGCCAGCTCCTTTTTTTTTTTTCTTCCTCTTCTAAATTTGGCCCTGCAGATTCAACTTCTGTTTTATTGGGGTTTGTTGGTTTTGGCTTTTTGTTTTTTTCTTTAAAGAAGTTGTGTAGGTCACTCACTGTTTACTTAAAATTAGACCCTCAGAAACCTCTGTCTGAAAGGAGCACGGATAAACATTGTCTGTAAAGAATTTTGCACCTGGGACAGTCAGAGGAAGGATTTATCATTGCAAATTTGAATTACTTTGAAAATGCCTCTATCTTATTTGTTAAGCATTCCTTGAATCTAGAGGCTCTAAGAAGCCGCAGAAACTAGTTTCAAACAAGAGGCCCAAGCCCCCCAAACTGTGTAGGAGCATTAATATGCTCTACAGGCTGTATTCCAGCCAGCAGAAGCAGCTCTAGAGGTGGGTGCATTCATTTGGATGTTGATGTATTAACTCATGTTTTCATGTAAATAAGGGTTGAAATAGGTGGTTGTTGGCTTCTTTTTTTGTTTTGTTTTTTTTTTTTCTGGTAATGCGTCTGAGCACAAACACATTAAACTCCAGTTGACATGGTTTTAAGTCCTGCATGACATATTGCAGTGCTCTGTAACGACCTGAGCCACTGTACATGTACACTTCACATCAACATGGTAGCCACGACACCATTTTGGTTGTGCCCTCCCAGCCCCCAACTCATTGCTACTGTGGTACAATGCTTTAATGCAACGAATCTGAGCAGGAACATCCACTTCCAGAAGCCTCCAGTCACCGCACTGGTGGCCTCATTTGGTCTGTCAAGCCTTTGGCAGGGTTGAGCAGTGCCAAACCTATTCCAACTTGCCCATGCAACCAGGCCTCTTTCAGGTTTCAAGAGTGCTTAAGAAGAGTGCAGGGGGCATGTGTGCTCCAGAAATTTATGTCTCCACGTAGAGCTTTGTAGGAGCAGCTTTGCTTCGGGAAAGGGTTGTAGCACGTGCAGCGCACACGGTAATGCAGACCAGTGGAGCTGCTCTCTCCTGGTGGCCGAGGAGCAGGTGGCCCATCAGCACAAGGGACGTGGTGGCAACCCCTGTATTAAAGCATGCGTGGCTTGCATGTTTGACAGCCCCATGTTGTCAAGGTTTTCAGGCTCATGTTGGGTTTGTGCTCAAGACTGGTGGGTGGCCCGAAGTCTTCTGGCTTGATTGCAGAGACATCTGTTTACACCAGTGGTTAATTAGGCCTGAAGACTGGCCATCTCTGTATTTTTCCCCACCGTTTCTGTGTTTTTTCTTGATTAGAAGTATTCCCTCCTCAGCTGTAAAACAGAGGCTTTGGTTTTATCTGCAGATTTTTTTCCCTCTTAATCCACTGGCCCCAGTATGAGATGAATATCAGGACAGCAGCATAGCCTCTCTCCAAAAAAGTAACCAAGTGTTCCAGAAAAGAATGACTTGTGCTTTTGATAGAGACTGCAGAGTGAGCACTGAAAGGGAAAGAAAAGCAGCCTAAAATGGTTTAAAACATGGCTCAGTGCAGAGTACAATTCACTGTGTCACAAGAAGCAAGAATGGAAAGGGGAGACTGTTTTAGGAGCCTGTGTGCCGTACAAACAGCACCAGTGTGAACAGTCTGGCCTGGGCCAGAAATGAAGTACATCATGCAGGTGACGCAGCCTGAATGGGATTTGGGAAAGAACATGGATCTTTATAAAAAGGCAAAAAGATGTGAGAAGACATACAGCAATGGTAGGGAGCCCAAACCCCTGTCAGAGGACAGTCTTTCAGCTGGAGCAATGATGATGCACACCAACAGTCTCCAGAGAACTGGGAGTGCACAGGGAATTACAGAGGGAGGGAGTCATCTCCGTGCATGAGGAATGCAGCAAAACCTCCTCTGACTAAGCCAGCTAATGCACACTGCATTTTTTTTCTTTCCTGATAATCCTGTTCCATAATATTTCCTTAATAATTTAGTATGTGAAGAGTAGCCCTTTTGAAAAGCATCTAAATCACCAAATCTTACTTTCAGAAAACCTTACTACTCTTGTCCTTCACAGGCACTGGGGATTTTTATTAGGCATGGCTATTTGAGAGCTATCTTGGAGTTAAGGGTTGTTTGTTTTTTTCTTAATTACTTAATGAATTTACCATGTGGCACAACCCTTGGTACTGCCAAGCAATAGCTTTCTATTACTAGACTGTACAGGCCCAATCCTGTGTTACCAAAGCCAAAAGCAGTATTTGGGAACTAACGTTGTCATTGAAATCTGTAGGAAGCTTAGAATAACTATAAAAAAGGGGGTAGTTTCACTCAGAATATTGGTTCATGAGCTCCCTGTTTTTTTGCATCTCTGTTCATTTTAGCCAAAGAAGATCAACTGCCCAACTGGACATATAATATATGATACTGCATTAGAACTAAGGCTGCATTTGGTCATACTCATTAATTAAACTGATTTCTCCTGTAGGGTTTTTTTTCCTAGAGAACTAACAGAGAATGATAATTAAGCATATTATGCATTCTAGGGAACGGTGTTTCTCCTACTGCCACAAAAACATTAAAGGAGAAAAACATGAACTAAAGCAGAAAATGAAGGGGGGGGGGGAAGAGAGCTAAAAATGGAGTGAGAAGGGGTGGAGCATTCCTTCCTTCTGTTTTAACCAGCTCCTCTGTGCCTTGGGACGTGTGGGGCAGCCTTGTTACAGTGGAAGAGTTGCGCCAGCAAAAAAAAAAAGGAAAAAAAGCCATTGAAATCCCAAGGAAAGCAGCCCAGCTCACAAGTGTGGGTCCCTCCCTGCTCGTGTACAGGTGCAGACCGCAGCAATGCCGCACCCTGGCTTTTTACTGAGGAGCTTGTTTTTATCTGTGGCTGGGACTTGCATGAGAAGGGCCCTGCTCTGGAGGGTCAGTACTGACCCCTGAGCTGGCCTGAACGGAGATGGCACGAGGTCCTAGTGGTATTTAATCATGCAGTGTGATCCCTTCTTACCCAGGAGACCCGTGTTGCTTGGTGGGGAGAGCACTGCTCGAGCGCTGCAAACGAGCAGCTTTGGCTGTAGGCAGGCCCTTTGTTTAGCTTTTCCCAAGTTACCGGTGCTGAGGGGGTCTTTATTTGCAAAAAGTTGCCTGCTCTGGGGGCAGCATTAGGTATTTACCTGCCAGCTCCTGCGTGCACCAAGGCAAAAGCATCCAGGGAGAAAATAAAGTTCTGTTGTACAATTGCCTGATGAAATCTCATAGCACTCGTGTGTGCTGCAATTAGAAAGAAAAAGGCCAAGGATGAAATTAGAAACATAGGAAGCAGTTCACTCCCTCTTTTTTTGAAAAACGTGAGGGATGCCAACATTCCAGCACACCAAACTTGCTGCTCTTTCCTAATTAGCACGCGTGTTGATGGGCAGAGATTACCTGGCAGTCTGTAGTATTTCTAATGAATTGCCTGTGAAGCCCATGTCTCTTCCCCCCTCCCAATCTGTCCAGTCTTTGATTTCTGTTCATTTATTTATCTTCAAGGCAGGAGGGGTTTTGAATGATCTTCATGAGACTTGACCTCTTCAATCAGACAGGCTTTGACCATCCTTGCTTAAAGACAACGCTGCACTTAGACTATGCCTGTAGCCCACATCAGGTCAGTACTGCTGCAGAAGAACACAGCTTGGTTCCTTCTCTTTTAGCATGTTGTCTTCATCTGTGAGCAGGGCCTGTGTCAAGCCTATGACTGCACAATTACATCTGCACTGCTGCTCCCCAGGAAGCCCTTGTGTGCATCCTTCAGAAACGGGATGTGTTTTGGGTGGCTCCTCCTTGCAGACATGCAGACTTCCCCCCCCACTCCTGCAGGCTCTGGAAACCTCTCCACACTTCCTAGCACGGTGTTCTGCAGCTCAGTTGCAGGCTGTTTCTCTGTGCTTACTAACATGTTCAGACAAACTGCGTTTGGGTCTTGCAGGCACCTCCTGGTCAGGTTGCTCCAAAGCTGCAGAGTGGAGTTTCTTGGCCAGAAAGGTCTCGTTAAATCAGCTGCGAGGCCATGTGAGGAGCAGTCGGCAGGAGGAATATTCACCTTGCGTAGCCCAACCTCGTCCCGCCAGGACGGAGCCTCTGCTGTGTGCGGAGCGTAGGAAGGAGCTCTATTCCTATCGACCCGTATCGTGACCTATGCTCAGCTGAGAATGCATCTGAGTGTGGATGCAGGTTGTACTAGTTGTGTCCAGAGGAACAATCTGAGTTACAGCGTGACTATAAACTCCTGCCAAGAAAGGCCTGGGAGAGTTACAGTAGGAAACAGAAGGGGCGGCGAGTTTTGTCTTGTGCTGGTGTAAGATTGGAGCGACCTAACGAAGCCAGAGGCGTTTAAAACTTGGATGACACGGGCTCAGGCTTTTTACTGCCGAGTATAACACGTCGAGATCAGGGCTGTGCATATCGGGCTGCTTATTTAGCAAATGTTTGTGGTCCTGCCTCTGGTGCCGGTGATAGCGCACACACACCCAGGCACGGGGACTGTAAACCTGCTGCGGACTTTGAGCTCCGGAAGGCAGGCACTGCTCAGCTGGGTGCATCCACAGTGCGATTACGCAAGGCCAGATCCTGCTGTGTTACAAATCCGGCGTAAAGGAGGGCAGAATGTGGCTCTGAAATACAGTGAATCTGACTTGCAAGTTTTACAGATATTCTGGGTGGGTTTTGAGTAGGCAGAGGCCCGCTGAACAGAGGTACCACTCAGGCCTCTGAAGAAGATGAACCTTCTCCTTTTATTTAGCGATTTTATTATGACTCGTTGCAATTTCGGGAAGAGGCTTGTTTCCCCCAAGCAGAAGGACCAAATTTCAGTGCCTTACTGCTGGAAGGTATCCAGCCAGGGGGAATTCTGGTTTTAATGTTTGCCGGCTCCTGGCGAGATGAGAGAGCCTGGATCTCCTCAAAGGGATGGCTGATAGCACCGGTGGAAGGCGAAAGGTGCGATGAGGCCTCCAAACTGGGAGAGTAAAACGTCAGATTTTACTGATGCCCTTTCCTCCCATTTTAGTGACTTCAGCAGAGTATTATTTGAAGTGCCTGGTGTTTAAATATCAGTTAGATGGGGATCTTTCCAATTACAATTTTAAGAATCCATAAAATCATCATTTAATCTCCTTTTATTTTGGCAGATTCACTGTTTGAATTGTTTGGAGTTATTTTTCCTTTGTGGATTTTTGTCAGGTACAATTTTCAGGTTAAGGAAGCCTTCCTTCTAAAAGTATCCTTCTTTTCCTTTTCGGTTTTCTAACTGAAAACTGAACTTAATTTCTAACAAGACCATCATCTTGATTGATCACAAATCATTACAGATGGTTTTCAGCATAACGCCTAAACGAGTCATGATATTAATGACTAATAATCGACTTTATATTAGGTCTTAAAGCTTTATTGTCCCGAAGTACAACCGGTTCAGTGGAACATGAAAGGCCGGAATGATGCGAGATGCCGCTGGGGCTGCAGCCAAAACTCTAAGGTGTTTGAATCGCCTTTAACAGAGCCGGCTGGGATTACAACCCCTTTCGAAACACAGTCATTGAGGTGACTTAAAATAATCGTCTTCTTTCCAGGTAGCGCCTGGTGCCGAGCGCTCCCCCCCTGCCCCCAAGTCTTCACTCGCTCGAACATCTCCGTTTGGCCTCATTTTTGTGCTTCGGTGGTATCTGCACAGCCCAAATTAGCAGCGAGGATTCCACGGACGGGGGCCGCTGCCTCCCTGGGCTCCCAGGTGAGCTGCCGGGGCGAGGGGCGGCCGCGAGCGCTCCGGGTTTTATCCCCACTCCCCCAGAGCCCCAGCTCTGCTTGGCCCAGCCGGGGGCTGACCGGGGGTGGCGATGGTGATGGTGGGGGGAATTTTGGGTTGTACCGGGACGACCTGGGGGTCAGCCCCGCTGGCCGAGCCCCGTCCCCTGGCCGGGTCCCCGCCACCGGATAGCGGGGATACTTGTCATATTTGCGGTCGGGGCGCGCTGGCACCATCCTTTGTGCCGGCCCGGCGCTCCCCGGGGAAGCCCCGGCGGCTGCGGGGGCCGTGCCGCCCGCCCGGGGCCGGGGCACGCGTGGGCAGCGCGGGGAGCCGCGGGAGAGGGAGCGGGGGAGGAGGAGGAACGGGGAGGGGGGGAGGGAGGACGGGGGAGGAAGGCCGGGGCCGAGGCGGAGCTTTGACGCGGTCCGGAGGGTGAGGAGCTCGCTGGAGCCGCCCCTGTCGTCAGTGCTGGCGGCAAGTGCTGGGAGCCGGGGCTGGTGCCTCCTCCTCCTCCTCCTTCCCCTCCTTCTTCTCCTCCTCCTCCATTGTATAATGCTGCGTGATCGCAGCCGCCGGGGCAGAGCGGAGGCTTAAATCCTCACGCCGCCTGCTCCTGCCTTCTCCTCCTCCTCTTCCTCCTCCTCCTCCTCTTTTCCTCCTCCTCCGCATCCCACCCGGCCCCTCCCCGGAGCGGCGCGGCGAAGAGCGACATATGGAGCTGCTCTAGGGCGAGAGTTTCCGACCTCCCCCTCTCCATGCTTTAGTTCTCAGGTGGAGCTGCATGTGGTGAGTGGGGCTGGGGGGATGCGGGGGGTGGGGAGGCAGGGGACGGCGACACCCCATCACACCCCCCTCTGGCTCTCCGAGTCATCGGGGCTTGTTTTATCTCTACCTTTAAATTGGTGCCCGGGCAGAGGAGCTCGGGGCGGGGATCCTCCCCCTCTCCTCCGCGGGGGAGGGGGGCGAACCGTGCTGAGATGAACAGAGGAGGGGAGAGCGGCGGAGTTGCCCTTAAAATACGCCCCCTTCCCCGCCGATGCGCGGGGATCCCGGGCCGAAGCAGGTGCGGGGAGCTGGAATACACTTTTTTATCGAGGTGGCCGTGCCGGCCGCGATAGTGCGGCCGGTTGTGCTCTCCAGAGCCGGGCTCCATCCGACGCCAGGGAAGCGGCGCCACCGCGGTAAGTTCTCCCGTGCGCCGGGGACCCCCCGGAGCCGGGGGGCTGCAGCCTCGCCCCGCTTTCCCAGCAGGAGCGGGGGCTTCAGGGAACCCCGAGAAGTGTGTGCCGTGGTGCCGGGAGGGCTAAAGGGACCGGGGGGGGACTTTCACTCCGCTGTGGCAAAGCTGACATATGGCTGGGCAGGACCCGGCTGGCCCCGCTGCCTGGCCCTTTCAGGGGTTGGTGGTAGGGCAGGGGATTAGCCTGTCTTTTCCCTGAGCGATAGCGCTCATGGGTCTTCCTTGGGAGCACCGCCAGCACGAGAAACGGGCGTTTGGGGGGGCTTTTGTGGGCAGGGTGGTTCATCTTTCGGAAGCGGTGGCGAAAAATATATTTATTGGGATTTTCTTCAGGGTGGGTGAGCGCTTGAAAAAAAAGTCTTTTGCGATGCCGCTTTGATTTAGAGCGTTTGCTGCTTTACTCGTGTCGGGATCTGGAAAGATAAGTTCTCCTTAAGCATGAAAATAGGAGTACAGTTACCTGCTGTCATTTTGTGAAGCACAGCTGGAAAACCCGGGGCCACTTTTGTTAAAAATCTAGGAGGGGGACTGTGTGCTGTCCAGTGGGCCCCTGGGTGGCTGATTTACGGTTATGGGTCTGCTGCCGGTGTAAAATAAAGCAAATCTGCCCATTTTATCTTCATCCGGTGGGGGGGGGGGGGGGGGGGGGCTGTCAGCTTCTTTACCCGAACTTCAGTGCAGCACGCCAGAGCTGTTGCGTGTGGCGGCGTGTGTTCAGACACATTCAGAGCTCTCGGGAGCAGGAAAGTCCAGGCTTTTTCATCTCGTGCCTGGTGCAGTCATCGGGGTGACTCTCGCTGCCGTCAGTGGGTGCTGGATTTGGCCACCGTAGAACGTACTATTGCTCAAACAACGGTGGGAGGGGGCTTGGCTACCCCAAACACCAGTTTTATGCTTGTGTCTCTCAAATGAGTAAACATTTGCTTATGTGTGTGAGTAGAAACGAGACTTTCTGCCTTTTTATTATGATAATTTTCGAGGTTCATCTGCACAAAATGAAGGTGCCCGTGTCTTACGGACTTCTCACAGGGTACAAAATTGACAGAGGCACCCTCAGTTTGCATCCAAGTGCACAGGAAGCTTTCACGTGGTGAAACAAGCCATAAAAATGAAAACTGTGTTTTCTTAAAAATTGTTACTGCTTGTACTTATCTTGCTGTAGAAATTAGCCAGTTGATTTAGCAGGGTAAATTGAAAGTAGCCCTCTCTGGTTGAAGTTAAAATGTGTCCATTTTTACATAATAAGATGGTATCTTTGGAATCTGATTTAACATAATGAACTAGTGGTGGTGGTAGAGATAGGTGGAGGATTAGCAATTTGTGCTGCCAGACAGGTATCTGAGAGCATGTCCTTGGGAATACTTCCATTGTCCAGGCTAGTATTGCAGCATCTAATGTAACAGCTGGAGATATTCCTCCTTTCCCGACGGATCCTGCTTCCATTTAAGTTGGTAGCAAAAACCACCCACTCCTCTTCTGCAGGAACTGGATTGGACTGCTAACGAATGGAGCTAGACTTTGTGCATATTAAAACACCACTTTGATTTTTGTGTCAAGTTGATTTCTTTTCCTCTGAAGCTGATTGAAAGCAAACAAAAAGAAACTTGATAGCCATAGGTCCTTCAAGTTTTGTCTGCAGATGAAGCAGTCTTAAAGAGCATTAAATACATCTGTAGGTGCTGTTTTATTAAGAGTTGTAGTTGTATTCCTTTGTACACCTGCCTTTTTTTTTAATGGGAAAGATGAAATAATGAGTTTTGCAGTGTTTGGTGGAAATAATAAATATTCCAGGTGCTTGAGTTGTCTGCCTGAGAGGCATCAAGGAGTTTGAGATAATGTCCTAATAGCGAGGAAAACCTCAAATTTCATATTCTAAAATTGTTTTTGTTTTAGTCTCCATGAAGTACAGCAGATTTTATGCGATATCTAGTTTGAAGGGTTTTGCCATCATTTACGCTAGCTGCTTTTATTTTTTCAATAAATATTTCATAGGGAAAACATTTTTTTTTAGGAACTCTTGACTTTTTTCACGGTGATGTAAAGCACTCCTGGCACAGTTCATCTCTGGCAGCGCTAACACTAGACAGGTGATCCAAAATACTTGTGACTATTTTTGCTTTTATGTAACATCTTAAAGTGTAATCTGTCAAACAAGGAGAATGCAGTACTTTGAGAGTGTAAGTAGTCTTCTGGTGATCTACTTCTTATAAGGGGCTGGATAGCAAGAGAGACACCTTCTTTAACTCAGCTTTATACGTGTAAGTGGCTCGTGAGGGGGCAGCTCCAGTTGCAGTGGTTCCTTAACATGCACACACGCCCGAATCAGTGCCAGAAACAGCAGCTTTCAGTTACCAAGTCCAAAGATCAGGAGCGTTCCAAAGGAGAGAGCAAGGTCCAGCTTCAATGTAAGCAGGTTGGCACTGAGCACAGATCTTTAGTGTTGATGAATCTTCTGCTAATTAATGGTTTGTGGAAGATGAAGTTTGCCAATCTGAGTACAGCACTCATTTTCTTCAGGGGGATATAATTGCATGTTTTCTGCCACTTCTTTTGATTTCAAAACTTTCACCAATCAGAGAAGCTGTGCTGTCGTGAAGAGGTTGCCTGTTTTCTATAAATGGAGAGAGACCCTCAAAGTGTGTTAGTTCTTTATTTCTTCTATAAACAGTCAATTTTTGTGTTTGCTGTAGTGGAAGCTTCAGGTTTGTTCAGCATTACCAAGGCAAACACTATAACAAAAAATAAGATAACAATGCTTGAACTGTTCAACACAAGTGGGGAAAGGAAGCCCTGTAAATGCTGTGCTAACGTTGCTGTTTGATGTGCTGAAGTCAAGCTGAAACTGAAGTCCAAAGCAAATGTGTGGTTGGGAGACAGCAGAGGTTTAGTGGGAGAAACAGGCCTGGATGTGTCACAGGCCCTCTGTCTTAAGGATGTAGGGTGTTAAATGGGGTGTCACTGTGCAGAACAGAAACTGCACTGCCACGTTTGCTTCACCCGTGGCTCCTGATGAACGTGTCAGACGCTGGGTGTCATTGCAAAGTGGCCAGGAGGAGCTGTGCTGGGAGATTCCTCCAGCACAGAGGGGATTTTCGGGGTGGGGAAGAGCTGATTTGAGGGGCATTTCCAAGGGAGAGCTGGGGCGGTCTTCAGGGGTGTTGGTACATCTTCAGATAGGGCTTGAAGTTGTGACTAGGAACAAGAAGGCTTGAAAGGACCGAAAAAAACCTGTCAAGTCTCTGGAGAGCAAGTTTTTGGTTTTCACATGTCCCTTTGAGAGTGGAGGCTCAGGTGAGACAGCAGCCACCACCACATCAAAATGACTGTGTATTCAGGCTGCTGCAGCGATAGTAAAACCATGCCCAGAGTCCTGCTTTAGGCAAGTTCAGACCACTGTCCTTCTGAATAAAGGGCCTGGTTCAGTACTCTCCCCTGTTTGATACATAAAATCATAGGTGTTGCCATATAATGACTGAAGTTCACAACCTGTATAACATGATCGGTATTTTGAAGAGCAGTGATCTTAGAGAGGAATTTCTCCTTAATATCGCTCTGGAATCGAGTTTTAAGTGGCACTGAATGACATGAGTCTCAGTCTGTGTAATTATTAGGAGCCAAAGCCTGTTTACTTTGCATTCACACCATTAAAATGTATTGGATTTCATCTGACAGCTTGTTTCCAGTGAATTTAGAATAAAAATTGTATTCCTAATATAGTAGAATACAAAGAGAAAAGTGCAAA